GCCCATTAGTGTCTTAATAGAGTCTTTTTATGTATTTTTCATATATTAGTAGTAATATAGTATATCTAATGTTAATTCTCTATTTTTACAGGTTTTTGATGATTTTTGGGCCTAGTCCTACAGGACCAGGAGTGGCAAGGTCCTATAGTACCTGTCTGATAGCTGAAATTCTGCTTGGGCCGTGAAGAAATGGGCTGATTCATAGAAGAGGCGTTGGGCCCGGTCAAAACCCAGTTTTGAAGAAGCTTTTGTCTTATTAGTTGGCACCCACTATAAGACCTTCCTTAGCCTATATAAACAAGTCTTAAGCCTTGTTTTAAAAACACTTTTTCATACTTTCTTCCATTTAACACTTGTGATATTAGTGATAATTGTTCTCTAGAATATTGCTTTCGGTTCCAAGTTTTGGTTTTCTTTGTTTGACTTTTCAAGAACCAACTTTTGTAGTTGTAATTTCATCCTCAACTTTTAATTTAAGTACTCGTATTTAATCTTCATCTCACTTTTGTTCCAAGTTACGTTATGTTTTCTTATCTTTTATGAGTTACGAATTAGTCGATTGTTGTTGCTTTACATCGGATCTCATCCTTTGTGGCTCACGACTAATTTACGTAGTATAAATAATCTGTTTTTACGAGTTTGCAAGTAATCTTTCGGTCTTTATAACGAAACTTGTTTTGCAAGTTTCGTTACTTGACTTGCAAGTTTCGTTACTTGACTTGCAAGTTTTCTTCAAAAGTCAACCCCAATTTCCAAGGTTTTCATATGTCATTTCCTCATCCCATCAAAGTACTACTTGTCATACATCAAGTACTTTTTTTTCATCATTATTAGATTAATATTATTTAGTTATTAATAATTTTACATTTCAGTATTTATATTTCAGTCTTTATATTTCAGTATTTATATTTCAGTCTTTATATTTCAGTATTTATATTTTAGTCTTTATATTTCAGTATTTATATTTCAGTCTTTATATTTCAGTCTTTATATTTCAGTCATTTATATTTCAGTCATTTATATTTCAGTCATTTACATTTCAGTTCTTTACATTTCTGTCTTTAGTTTACTGCAATTTACATTTATGTCTTTGTTTTACTGCAATTTATATTTATGTCATTTAATTTCCAGTACTTTAAATTCCAGTATTTCCATTTCTTGTAATTTACTTTCTGCAATTTACTTTTCYGTCTCAGTTATTTATTTTACAATCCTTACATCCTTCGAGAGAAGAAACCGAGCGATGATGGGCTAACGCCTTAGCTTGGGGTGTAACGAGAAATTAAGACCAAA